TCTGATGTTGTACTTGGAACCAATTCTTCTTATCCTCTCCGATAATCCTCTGATGTAGGGAAGTGCAAGCACTGGTCGTGACGGCTTCTCTTCCTTGCGAGGCTCCTGCTGTCTTCTAGTCAAAGTCTTTTCTACCATTGCTTTGGAGTAGCCATTCACGTGAAACACACACAGCGAAAGGAAACAAGCAAATCAGGAATAGCGGACCATGTTTGGACCATCAATATCGAGTGGTCCCAAGCTGAGATCTTGCACAGAGAGGAACATTGGTTTAGGCTGCTACGGATAGGCTGAATCAGGTTCTGATGTTGTACTTGGAACCAATTCTTATTATCATTTCCGATAAACCTGTGATGTAGGGAAGTGCAAGCACTGGTTGTAACAGATTCTCTTCCTTGCGAGGCTCCCACTGTCTTTCAGCCAAGGTCTTTTCTACCATCGCTTTGGAGTAGCCATTCCGTTGAAGATCATTTTTGATGATGTCTAGTTCCTTTTCGAGATCTTCCTTCGTGTCACAGAGCCCGAAAGCACGGTCTAATAGAGTCTTGATGAGTCCTCTTTCAGTTGATTGATGGTGGTTGGATTCGTGGTTCAGATACTGTCCCGTATAAGTGGGTTTTCGATATACAGATGTTTCCCACTTAGTATCGGTCCTCTTCACCGAAACGTCTAAGAATGGTAATTCTTTGTAGATTTTCTTCTCCATTGTGAAAGTGATGGAAGGTCTCATAATGTTGATGTGTTTCAGGAAGGCGTCTAGTTCAGTGTTCCCATGGTTCCATATTATGAAGGTGTCATCAACATATCTCAACCAGACTCGAGGTTTCTTGTGGGCTTCTTCAATGCCCAGAGTTTCAAACCACTCCATATATATGTTGGCTATGACTGGTGAAATTGCCTATCCCATTGGCAGTCCCTCATCTTGTATAAAGAATTCGTCCTTCAGTTGGAAATGATAGTAATTCCATAATTACTTCTATAGGTAGATTCGTTTTCTCTTTCAGGTTCCTGTCTTCGGATAGCTTTCTCTGTATGATTTGGAGTTCTTCTCCGACCGGAATGTTCCACGTCGAAACTAATTAGTTTGTCTTCCTGTGTGACCTCAATTGACCTAGTAGTTCGACAAAATGCCTGGAATTTTTCACGAAAGACGATGTTTTTTCTTGTAATGGTTGTATCAAGGAAAGTTTCGAGTAGCCGAATCTCTGGAGCTGATGATCGGTCTAAGTGGAAGGTTCTTCTTGTGGATTTTGGGCCGTACATACAAGTGAGGGGGCTTACTGTGGTGCGGTGTTAGCGATGATCTTTCCTTGTTGTCCAACAACGTATTCATCCAGGCCAGAGTAGAAATACGTGACATATGGAAACCTATCATCAAACGAAAAATGGCCAACTTCCGTCAAACGGTCATCTCCCACGGAACCAGTGAAACGGAAAATTAAAAGCGGGGATAAGTAAAAGTACTCGAACGAACTATAAATAGTCATCTCTCGGAAAAATCAGTCCAGTCATCACCCAAAGACGATTGTAGATGCTAACAATCGGAACGTCGTGAACTAATGGACTTGGAATTTCTCAACTTTTTATTTTTATTTTTTTTCATTTCTTTATTTTCATTTATTTTTTTTCATTTCTTTATTTTCATTTATTTTTTTTCAATTGTTCTATTTTACTTGTATTTCATTTCACTTTTATTTCATTTCAGGGTATTTTTGCTTAATATAATTGTTATTTTGAGCTATTCATTTTTGATTCTTCTTTTTTAGTTGTTTCAGGGATTTCAAATCATTTTATATACTAGACAATGGAAGTCCGAACTAGTGAAATTCGTTATGCTTCCAGCTGTTCACATGTACCTCTCCCGCCTTTTTTTTCATGAGAAATTCAATGGGAGAAACCCCAGCTATCAGCTATGCTGCTTCTGCTGATACAGACCACAGTGAATTCTCAAGATTATTTTCTGATGCAGACTAGTGATAGTAGTTTTTTGTTCTCCAAAACTATATGACAGGCAGGCGCTGCACATAAAATCTGAGAATACGCCACATTCAGAAGTACCCTTCTTTCGGAGGAACGGGGTCCGTCTATATTCGAAAGGAGATCTTTGAAAAAGCTGTTAATCATTTCTTCAACTTTGTTAATAACTTTTTCCGTTTGCTTGGCAAAGGTGAACTTTGTATCGAGTTATACGCCTAGGTATTGATTGCTCTTTTGTGGACGTCTTGGATTTCAGAGACGGCAAGATTCAGTTTCCTTTTCATCGTGAGGAGGAAAGCTTCTGTCTTATCTGGTGCCAGTTCTAGCTCTTTATACACTAACCAGTTCGATAAGCGCTCATCAGCTGCATTTGGTTTATTAGCCAGAATTCCTTCACCATCGTCAACTACGACACGCGAAGCCTATAAACGTAAAGCCTGGTGATTGTTTTATCCTAAGTAATTCATCATAGAGCACATTTCATAGTCTAGGGCCAAGTCTGACCTTTGTGGTACTCCGCTGTTAATTGTCCTTGTTCTAGATATATTTTCTGCTTCAAGTATTATCTTTCTTTCTGAGAAGTAGGCTCTGATAATATTGTACAAGTTTTAGTCAAATCTCCTTCGTCTCAATTCATCAAAAAATTTTTGCCTTGCGCTGTTGAAGGCATTCTTTACATGAAGAGTGATCACCGAACTATGGAAGAAAGTACTTGTTTGCCTGGGGAAAGTACTATTGTACTGAAATGTGTCTATATTGTTTAGATTGTAATTGTAATCATGAATGGTGTAGTTCCGTTGCACTTTTTATAGCAAATTTTCAATTTCTCTCTAAAAATGTCCGTATAGGTAAAAATGTATTACAAAAGTTGAACTCCATGATGAGTTTGTTATGTATACAGGCTGATTCACGGTGGATGGCACATTAGACGTTTCTGGTGAACCAGACAACGGATTGCTTTGAAAATTTAATGAAGAGCATATTCAGACACTCTCTAGCCAACTAAAATATTTTCGATAATGCGGTGTTGCCGCTTCTATTAGAAAGCAGTAGCAACTTTGATTTTTCAAATGGAACACTCTGTATATAATATTATTTTTGGAATCTCCAACAATTGCCCGACAACTTTTCTTGATATTTCCCTATACCTATCTGTTACCGTTTTCGAAATAAAAATTAATTTCAATTTTTTTCTTCGAAAATCATGACTTCTAAAAATGCCGATATCTTTTAGTTAAGAAGTACTATGATATCGAAATTTGGTTTGGAGTTAGGTGATACTTGGACACTTCCCACACGTCAGCCTAATCTCCGTTACTTCAATACAGGGTGGTAAAAAAATACAGTTTTTTCGTTTGCTTGAAAAAGTTGCTGA